CCCCCCCCCCGACGCCATACAATTTCCTATCCAAACACGCCTATGCTTCATCCTATATAGAGGGGGCACACGTCATGCACGGGGGAATAGTAACAACCCACGTAGCCCTTGGGCGAGCTTGAGCTTGCGTGCACCGCAGCCGCGGTACCGTCCGTAGCAGAGGAGAGGGAGAGGGAGAGGGAGAGGGAGAGATAGCTAGGGGAGGGGAGGGGGGAGAAGGAGGAGAAGGGAGAGGGTGGGGTCGGTGTGAGGGGGGACGAGGAGGGAGGGCGAAGGCGCTCGGGGCGAAAGCGTTCGGGGCGAAAGCGCTTGAAGAAACGGCGATTTAGTCTTGTTGAGCGAGGTGGAGGGACCTGGGGGAGGAGTGGATAAGTACTTGAACGCACGGCAATTGCAATTGTGGACGGGTGCTGCACGTGGGGAAGGTGATGCCACCGCGGTAGGCTCATCGGCAGCCCCTCTTCGGTATGGTGCCGGCTTGAGTACATGCTTGGATTGATGACGCACTTACGAAGGGTGTTTATGTGTGTGTCCTTTGGTTCTTGTGTATTGTGTGTTATTTCGCCATATTCCCCCAAGGTCAAAAATGTCGCGGACTTGTCGCGGAAGCATTGAGAAGTTTTAAGTTACTTCTAGCTTGAGGGTGTGTGTGTCCCCCAAGCACTGCACTCCTTGAAAAACAACTAGGAGTTAGTGCCCATCACAGGTATTTAGGCGAAGTAGCAATCTTCCGGCGCCGAATGTACGCACCATGAACTATCTAAAACCTATCAAACAACCTACCTGGTATCAAGGTCCTTGTGCACTTCTGCGTGCCGTAAACACCAGCACATGCAAGCACACGCAATGGAGAGGGAGAACGCCAACAAAGCCTCTACAAAAATGTATCACAACAAAAAAGCTTTTTTGGTCCCCCTCCCGGGAGTGGGGGGGGCGTCGGGTAAGTGTGCGGGAAGACTGTTTTTTGTGCGCCCTTGTCCACACCCACATTGGTTAGCCGCAACATCAACCACCCTATCCACCAACACAGCTCATCTCGAGTCCTAACCCTATGTTACAGCATGGGGCGAGGACAGCATGGGGCGATGGCGTGCGGGCTGCAACGCTCAGAATGTGTTGTGGAGGCTGTGCTGCCGCCGCAGGTTGCGGCTTGCTGCAGCGGCAGAAACACAGCTATTTCAGCGCCAACCGCTTGAACATGAACTAAGCTCAGTATCCAGCAGGCTCTCTCCCCCTCTTATTGCAAGGAGTTTCAACACATCCCCTTCGACTGCTGCTGTGATGTGCCATGCATTTTTCTCGAACGGGTACTGCTGCAGTAGTCTACAGCAGTACTGCTGTAGTGGCCTTTGACACAGCGATGTGTTCGTACAGCAGTAGTTTCCAAATTACAGCTGGTCCAAACACCGTCTCAGCGCCAACCGCTTGAACTGTGAGTCTACCTCGACGGTTTGCAGCAGCAGTTCACACTGTAAGGCCTCTTTTTTGGACACGCACTTGGCGGGATTGGGGTTCGTGGCAGATGCAGCCGCAACGAGCGCAGAGTCTTTGAATCCAACCACGGCTGTAGACATTTGGTACATATTTCGCAGTAGACATGTAATCTAGACAACTCTATACACAGCAACACAGCAGCAGTTCCCCATCGTATTGTTCCTGGTTCGGTCATGACCAAACGAGCTGCTTGGCAGCAGCAACACCAGTGCCGTATGCTGGCAATTGAGAGCTGAAATTGACTATCAAGCGACGACCTGAAATACGAGAGCACTCGGCTGCATGCGGCCACATCACCTCGGTTTGCAGTTGGCAGGCTTCCTCTGTTCCACTTTGCTCTGCCGCAGAGCAGGCTCGATGAGTTTTTTTCCCACACGGCGCGGTCCCATGTCGCTGCTACATAGCTGCGGCCAGCCTCCGACGGCGCGTGTCAACGCCCATGTCGCTGCTCCACGCTGCTCGCTACTGGAATGGCCGTCGTGCCGTTTGGTATTTGCTGTACTGTTGCTTTCGGCCAATACTTTGCAGGAAGGGTCAAGCATCGTACAATACACACTTTCTTACAGGCTTTTTCGAAGTCAGTCTTGCTTTCGTTCCCGTTAGTAACCAAGGGTGCGCGCTAACTTTACAAGATGAAAACGCGAACGGAGCGTTGGCGACGAACCTGGGAAGTCAAACCTGTATACGACGTGACCGGCAAGGAACGTAAGGTAGTGAGATGTCAGCAAGCTGCAGCGGTGGCCAACTACTGCTGCTGTGGTAGCGTGAGTGCGGGGGGGGGGCATCATCTGAGTGGGTCAAGCGCTTCAAAGGACACCCACGCGTTGCTCGTCAAGGGTGCACGCCGGCAGCATGAAAACGCGCGGTCTGCTCCCCTCCGCCCTCTCTATCTGTCCCAATCGTGCTGATCGCACTTCTTTCCATGTTCCACCAACTCTTGCTGTCAGTCTTGACCTTTCCGAAGCTCTCCGAAGCGCGAAAGAGCGCGATCTCCGGGCGATTCGGGGGGATTTTTCCTGCAACCCCCCGCAAAACCCAAAACTCTCGGGCGCCGTCACGGGTCGAGCGCGCCGAGCCACGCCCCCGAAGCGGCGAGGTCGGGACGGGCCGGCCCTCGTCCCCCCCCCCCCCCCCCCCCCCCCCCCCCCCCCCCC